ATCATGCATACTCTCAATACCATATTGATCCTACTCATGCTACTAATCAAGGTAATACAATCAAAGATACAAGTGAATATCAACTTACAAGACCATGTCAAAAGTTTGCTCATTGATAGATGAATATCTAAGATCTAAGATTTGAAAAAGGTTTTGTCAAGACCAACAAATAAGAAATCAAAGACAACATCAATATTGAATCAAAACTAATTCACAATACATATATTAGATGAAATACATAAGGTGTCAAAATATTATATCCAAACCCAACAAGAGATCGAAGATCTTACCTTATCCCCCTTAGGGTTAGTGTTTCTCTCTCTAAAATATATTTGAAATGAAGAGAGATAAAATTCTGATGTGAAAAAGTACAAGTTATAAAAAAAATTTCTTAATAGAAAGAAAAGTACATATATAGTAAAATAAAAAGTTGTCATGTTCGCCTAGAAAACTCATTCTTCCCCCAACGAACTCTACTTTTTGGCACCTGAAGTGCCTTATGAACAGTTAAACTCCCATTGAAAAATATCTGAGTTCATTATGCGAACACTTCTCCGCACAACGAACTACTTCACTTCAAATTCACCCAACGAACTTTGGATCATTTTCCTACTGCCTCTAATCTGAGATGGTTTGCTGGGGCTTCTCTAGGACTTTACCCAATGAATATTCGCTAGCTACTCGATGTTGTTCGCCCAACGAACATGCTGATTCCTCTTCATTTCTTTGGCTTCCTTGTCCACTGCTTTGTGTCTTAATCATTGATGTTTTATGCATATTTTCTGCACAATAACACACACATCAAAGAATCCAAAGGTATTTGCAATATAATTGAGAAATCACATAAGAACATAAAATACATCTATTAAAACATGAGACTTGAATTGAAAAGTGCCAAGAAAGATGATTCAATTTAAATCAAAATTTGTGCTTAACAAAGGACCAAAAGATGAATTAAGCCAATAAATTTAAATTTTTGAGTTAAAATAACTAACATATTATTAAGGCAAAATTACTCCAGGGTTCCTTTAGGATATTTAATTGTAACAGGTCGGTCCTTTACGTTTTTTTCGCTACATGTCAGTACTTTAAGTTGTATAACATATACAACATTGGTATTTTTCAATTATTCCATTTTAAAAACTTAGAGCTGGCATTAACAGTGCCTATGTGGCCGTCACATTGATGAGATGGAAATCATATGAATATTACTTGATATATTTGGGGAAAATGTCTTTCTTCTTCATCAAATCCCTAGAATATTTGTGCCCCCTAAGATTCCTTCTCTTACTTTCTCCAATAATGGCTTCATACGAAACTAATTTATCAAATTCACGTAACCCTAACTACAATTCCTTGATTTCGAGTGCAAGTCATGGTGAAATCGAACCAAGGTGTGCTTGTGGAGCAAAGGTCACGATACATATAGTGAGGAAGAAATGGAGAAATTGGGAAGCTTTTTTGGGGCTGCAGAAACTTTGTGGTAAGTTTATTACACTTGTCTGTTATGCCTTATTTGATGATGCTAAGTGTTAGATGTTAACAGAGTGAAGGTTCAAACTGTGGTTGAAACTTTTTTGAGTGGGTTGAAAAAGAGTTCAATGGTGAAAGCCAAACAGAAATCGAGACTCAAAGGTATTGATGTTAGTGTTGTAAGACATTTTCATAATGTGTTGTTCTAATGGATTTATTTAATATGATCCTTATTTTATGCCTAATTTGTTTGTCAAAATTTATGTTGTCCAAATATGTTGCAATAAATAGATAGTTTATGCCCGTATTTGTTTCACTAAAGAAGATTTAAAGGACATATTTGTTCTGCTAATGAATAATTAAAGGACATATTTGTTACACTAACGAATAATTAGAGGCCTTATTTGTTGAACTAATGAATAGTTAAAGGGCGTATTTGTTACACTTTAAGAGATTGAATCAACCTATGTTTAACAACTTAGTATTCTGTCACAATCTATATTGTAGTAAGGATGATTCAAATTACCATCCAAAATACATCAACAAACATCATTGACTACATGATCATTTCATAAAGTATCCAAAATACCATTTCATAAAGTACCCAAAATATCATCCAAAATACATCAAATATCCATCCAAAATACATAGTAGACATCCAAATTACATAGTGATGGTTCAAATTACATATTTCTAAGTCAACAAAGAAAACTACATGATCATAGATGTAATATGTAAGGTCTTCAACTCTACTTTGGATGCATGCAATTACATGGTAGCATAGTATGCCAGTTAGAATCTAACTCCTACAAGAGCACTCCTTCTGCCTGAGGTCAAGTGTGAATTTGTCTCCTGATACATTGATGTGCCTTACTTTATAAATCATATAGATTCAATAGTATAAGTGAATTACCTAGCCATACATAACCTTGATATTTCAATTTGTCTTTTCAAAGCCTTTGTAATTCTTGGAAGCACATAACCATTATAAGCTTTAATCTTGTTTCTGTTTGTTGCCCATCTATCTATAAGGTACCCTTTTATATCCTTTAGCATTGTAACAATAGGCTTTTGTCTTGGTCCAATTATAACACTATTGAATGGTTCTGACATATTGTTAACCAGCATATCACATTTGTTGTCATAATTGAATCTAGACTTACTCCAAAATCTAGGTGGAATCTTCCCATGCTTGAGGATATGTTGCTTTGGCTTCCCTCCACATCAACTCTTTTAACTGTTTTCCAGAAAATCTTTTCCTAAAGTTATTTTATAAGTGTCTTACACATAATCTTTAGTCAACACCTGACAACAATTCTTCAAATGCAGGTAACAACCTCTAAACATAGAAAAATAGTTAAACATATAGTTTATTGTACTAACATGATAATGACTATGTGAAAGTGAATGTACCTTTTGTTGGTCTGATATAAAAGTGAACTTCTTGCAAACTTGTGGACCACTAAATCTTGAACTAGAATATCAAGAAACCAAGCCCATGAGTCCTTAGTTTCTGCTTCAACCACAACCAATGCAATGGGCATCATTTGGATTAACTATAACAATTGAGTACAAATTTTCCCCAAAAAATTGGGTGTTACACATCCTTACATTAAACTCCCTATTACATGAATGAGTGTCAATCAATTTTCTCAGTTGCCATGTATCCTCATTTGGAAATTTAGAACATAACGCACCACATTCACACCCTTCCTTGCATCCCACTATAACCCATGTCTTATCATTCTTTATAAAGTGTAAATCTCTACCATTATTAACAACGTAGTTTGTTATTACTTCTTTAAACTCCTCATTTATTGAGAACATGGTACCCAAAACCCACTTATAGTCTACAAACTTCTTAGACATAACAAATTAGGGATATTTTTCCTTTGTTCCTTCATTTGAGTAGTCACTAATTGAATCATCATCAGTCACTAACTCTTCAGATTTATAATCTAAATCTGACAGATCCATATCTATCACTTTTCCTCTTTTCCATTCAACAAAACCAAAATCTAGTGTATCTTCATCACTAATTTGTTCATTTTCAATAGACATGGCTTTTTCAACCCTTTGTTTGCAAGGTCTTCCCTTTTCTTGTTGAAATTTCCATTGGCATTTTTTTTCTTTGGTCTCCTACCCTTAATTTTTTCCCTTGACTTGCCTCATCCACTTCTAATTCATCCACCATTTGATCATTCTCCCCAGCAACAAATCCTCATTCTCCTACTAAAACCTCATCAATTCCATCACTCACTACCTCATCATGAGAGTCATCAAACTTACACCCTAATGCATTATCATCACTTTTTTCATTATGGTCAGTCTCAACATGTATCTCAGGTATATCACTCATTGTGTCATGTTGGCCCAACCTTATGTCAATCTCAAGTATGTCAGACTGTTGTTCAGCTTCAGGTAAGACAGTTTCAGGTATGTCAGTTTGTTGTTTAGTTTCATATAAGTCAGTTTCAGGTATCTCATCCACTACATTACGTATGTCAGTTGCGGGTATCTCATCCATTACATCTGTTATGTCAGTTGTAGGTATCTTATCCGTTACATCAGTTATGTTAGCTGCAGGTATCTCATCTACTACAATGGGTTAGACATAAGTTAATAAAGGTTGGACATTAACTACATCTAGTACATCAAGTTGGGAAATATGGTGGACTATGTATACATATACCTTGCCATGAGTCTTGGACCAATTTAGAAGTTCTATTGCACCAAAATCGTTGATTAGTTCCTTTAAAGTACCAGCAAAACCATACCTCATTTCAAGTACTCCAAGATACCCTATTTCTTTAATAACACCTAAAATTTAAAATAACTTCATCTCTCACCATCACCCATATCATCAAAATGTTCCCCATAATGAAAATCAACATAAAAAACATTCATTTTTGCCAGAAAAGTAAGTTGTAGAAATCAATAAGTAATATAAGGGACCACATACAAAATCCTAGACCTAAAAAAATCAAATACATTCGAAGGGAAAAATAAGATGTAGAAATCAAATATATTTACTTAACTTAATTTTCAAATCTTATTATCTCAGTTCGTCTCCCTCAAATCTTTCATCTCCCTTGCATCCATCATCTCCTTCGTTCACAACAGTTTGTATGTGCGGAATTTCTCTTATTAGAGTTCACTTTAAAAAATCTTAATCTTAAAATATAGATTTTTGTTTGATTCCATAAACATTAAGGACTTATAATTACATTTCAACAAAGTTACAGTCATGTTAACAACGTAACATGCTACATAAGCACCGTGAGCGACAAAAGAGTTTTTTTGAACAGATGCATTGAAATTATAGAAGTTGTACTATTTAAAGTAGTAATATGTAGAAAAAAATTAAGGATAATTGAATATTTAGTGTATACTCGTTCAATTTATAAAAACATTGGCGGTTCAACGGCAACCGTGCACGGACTGCGCGAGGCAGCTTGCGGTGGCGTACAATTCGTTTCGCGATGGTAGAAAACTAGAATAACTCGAGCAATAACAGCTTAATTACAATGATTCAATTTGTATGGAGAACACGATCATCATCATCATCATCATCATCATTGTTAAGTCACAAGTATAAACGCATGCACACAACAACCACTGCAACGATAGAATGGACCAAAAACGCCAACCTAAGAAGCATGTTCGGTAAATACGTCGACAAAACTAGCGTCTTTAGTTGGAACTCAGTCATCGCCGATTTCGCTCGAACCGGCGACTCTTTACAAGCTCTCTACGCCTTCTCTTCACTGCGCAAACTCTCTCTTCACCCAAATCGTTCTTCTTTCCCTTGCACCATCAAATCATGTTCCTCCTTGTCCGACCTCCGCGCCGGGAAACAGACCCACCAACAAGCTTTTGTCTTTGGATACACCTCTGATATCTTTGTTGCATCTGCTCTCATTGACATGTATTCTAAATGTGGTCATTTGAATGATGCCCGGAAACTGTTCGACGAAACTCCTAACAGAAATGTTGTTTCTTGGACTTCCATGATTACTGGGTATGTTCAAAATGAGTATGCTCGTGAAGCCGTTTGTTTGTTTAAAGAGTTATTGTTGGTTGAGGAGAGTGATTATGAAGAGGGTGTTAGTGTGGATTCTGTTCTTTTGGGTTGTGTTATTTCGGCTTGTGCTCGGGTGTGTTTGAAAAGTTTGACTGAATGTGTTCATGGATTCGTGATCAAGAAGGGGTTTAAAGGGTGTTTGCCAGTTGGGAATACGTTGATGGATGCTTATGCTAAGTGTGGGGAGATAGGTGGGTCTAGGAAAGTGTTTGATGGGATGGAGGAGAGTGATGTTTGTTCTTGGAACTCTTTGATTGCTATATATGCACGCGATGGATTGTCGGCTGAGGCTTTAAGTGTGTTTAGTGATATGGTGAAGAGAGGTGAGGTAAGATATAATGCTGTCACGTTATCTGCGGTGTTGTTAGCTTGTGCTAGTTCCGGAGCTCTGCAGATAGGGAAATGCATACATGATCAGGTATTACTAGCAAGCTTCATTGTTTTAGTAGATAATCATACAAATGTTGGATTTAATTATTTATAGTATTTTTGGGTCTGTGCATAAATGTGCCTATGCTGCATTACATAGTAGTTCTAAGTTTAGAGAAAATGTGAGGGTTGTGTATAGTAGCTGACAGCCAAGGTAGAGCTTTGTTTAATTCTCATGACATGGATCGACCAAATTATTTTGATGGAACATTATGGCATTATTTGAACTATGAAGTCAGTTCCACAGAATGGAAAAACTTTTGTTTTTGTTGTAATTGTATTTTTGTACAGAATATTTAGCCAGAACCTAGGTGAGAATTGTTGGTCTCGCTGATGTAGCTGTTTTCTTTTACTATAGGTTGTCAAGATGGAATTGGAGGATAACGTGTTTGTAGGCACTTGTATAGTTGATATGTACTGCAAATGTGGGAGAGTTGAGATGGCAAGGAAGGCATTTGATCGCATGAAAAACAAAAATGTTAAGTCGTGGAGTGTTATGGTTGCTGGTTATGGAATGCATGGACGTGGAAAAGAGGCTATGGAAGTCTTCTACAAGATGATAAGGTCTGGAGTCAAACCAAATTACATTACTTTTGTGTCAGTTTTAGCTGCTTGCAGTCATGCTGGCCTGTTGAAAGAAGGGTGGAGTTGGTTTAATAGAATGAAACGTGAATTTGATGTTGAACCTGGGATAGAGCATTATTCGTGCGTGGTTGATCTCCTTGGGCGAGCTGGCTATCTTAAAGAAGCTTATGGTTTGATCCAGGAAATGAAGGTGAGACCTGATTTTATAGTTTGGGGTTCCCTTCTTGGGGCTTGTAGGATTCACAAGAACGTTGAACTAGGGGAGATTGCTGCAAGAGAACTGTTTGAGTTAGATCCAAGTAATTGTGGATACTATGTACTACTCTCCAATATTTATGCTGATGCTGGAAGGTGGGTTGATGTGGAGAGGATGAGAATATTAATGAAGAATCATGGAATTCTTAAAACTCCTGGATATAGTATAGTTGAAGATAAAGGTAGGATACATGTATTTTTAGTTGGAGATAAGGAGCATCCACAACATGAGAAGATCTATGAGTATTTGGACGAATTAAATGTCAAGCTGCAAGAACTTGGCTATATGCCAAATGTAACATCAGTGCTCCATGATGTCGATGAGGAAGAGAAAGGAATGGTTCTAAGAGTTCACAGCGAGAAACTAGCTGTTGCCTTTGGAATCATGAATTCAGTTCCTGGGTCAGTCATCCATATTATAAAAAATCTTAGAATTTGTGGGGACTGCCACATTGCAATTAAATTGATTTCCAAAATAGTAAATCGAGAAATTGTTATCAGAGATTCAAAGCGATTTCATCATTTCAAGGATGGGGTGTGTTCTTGTGGAGACTATTGGTGACAGTAACTGAAATAAACGGAATCAGAATCTATGGTGTTGGATGTGCACTACTTGTTCACCATCAAAGCCTTACCAGAAGTTTGTATGGTGCACAAAACTTTATATTACATTTGTGAAGGTGCATATCCAGTGAATCAACTTGTTCCAGTAAGAACAATGAATAAATTTTCAGCTGGGCTTTTAGATCACTTATTCTCAGTTCAAATACATAATCTTATTGCTCTACTGCAAAAGCACAATAAAACCCAAGTGCAAATATTACAAAAAGGTAACTGTTTTGTCTTGACAAATGAGAAGCATCAACAATCATTAGGAACGCGTACTGTGCCTACATCGCTGCAATTTCTACAAGTGCGCACTTGCTTGCTATACAAACAAGCATATAATAGCAAAATTCTTCCAGAATTATCCACAAGAGTTTGTTTCGCAATTGGAGCACAATACTGTTAGAATGTCAAGTCTACAAGATATCATGGAGAGCAACCTCTGAAGAGCTTGCTCACAGATTTTCTTCCTGGTCTGGATATCTCTGATTGGCTGCCTTCTGAATCATCATTGGAGTTCCGTGACGAATTCTGGAGGGCTTGGTTCTTGTGCTTCAAAGTTTCCACCTCTAACTGAAGCCTTCTAATGGTTTCCCTCTTTTCATCATTTCTTTGGACCAACTCTTCTAAGTAGTGCAGATTGTCATCTGTAAGTTTTGTCATCTGATACTTCAATGCTGGCCACGCACTTTCAAATTTGGAACTGATTATTAATGAATCTTCAGTTCCGTGTTTTAATTCCAAATCCTCAATCTTCATTAAAATATTTTCATTGGTGGAAAAATCTGTCATTTTGTCTTCAAGTTGAATCTCAAAATCCAGATTAGTGCCATTAGATCTGACACCTGAATGCTTCGAGACAGATTTCATATGGCCATTATAACCCATTTCGGGTTTCTTACTTTCCAAGTTACATGTTTCTCTTCTGGTGCAGCTAGCACATATGGTTTTTGATCTAGCAGAAGATGGTAAAGATCCTGAATGAAAGGAACCATGAGATGTTTTAGACTTTAGTTGGTTATAAGCTAAGGCTAAAACACGGTATGATCGGCCAAATTCTTCAAGCATCTGTATGAGGTCTTTTCTCCAATTGCAGTACATGTGTTCTTGGTTTGGAGAATTGCCATCTTCTAAAATAGTCGTCATGGCGTCCAATTTCTCATCCAAATCTAAAACTCAATCAAAAGTAAGTATTTATGGAATCAAAGGGCCTATTTATTACAGAACATGAAAGACGGTTGTATAGTTTATATATGTTGATGCCCTCACTAAGTTTAACTCCACCTCTGGCATGTTTTGTCTCGGGGTTTCCGATGACAACGATCAGGAAATAATTGCAATAATTTGGTTCTTTTTTTTTCTTCTCAAAATCAATTATTTAGTGGGCAAAAATTGATTTCAAGAGAATTGATTTATTTATTTTTGAAATATAGTTCTATTTTATCACTTCCAAAAACAAACTGAATAACTTACATCACTCTTAAAGTTAATTTTGTTGACTTTAACTTTTTCAAAATCAATTTTATCAAAATTAAGTTTTCTATCATCTAGAACAAATATATGGTAAAGCTTGTACACAGCACATTGAAAGTTGCAATCAACCATTGACGAACTTTTTTGTAGGGACAGTTTTAAATCGACTATATTGACTTCAAACTTTAGACTATATGTTTTTTTCTACCCTTACTTTATATACTTTCCATTCACAAAGTCAAGTCAAAAAATGCCAACAACTTGTTTAAAAACCAGCGTGGAAAATGCAGCAGAAAGAATAGTTAAAGAAAGAAACCTGATATGGTTGTTTGAAGCCATTGAGAGTGGTGGATAGGAGCAGAACTCCATGATTGACCATCATGAACATTGATATGATTATTCATTACTCACCAAAAATTAGATACTAATCAAAAACCAAAGGAAACAACAGGGTGAAGTGTAAAGAAAGCAAGTAAAGAATTTGAAAATGAAGGTAATGGCTGGCATATAACCAAGGACAGACGTTAAGTAGATTCTTTATCAAATTCGAAAATGCAAATTATTACAATGTCCCATTATTACTAATTATGCGGATGATTAATTGTCCATTAATGACTAGAGTATAATTTTGGTAGCAACTTTAATGTCAATATCACTATTGTGTTTTTCTTTACTACATTTCAATGATTATTATCATTTGTATATAGATAAAAAAAATGTGACCAATTAAATAATTTTAGATCCAAATATATATAAAACACATTAACCATTATCATGATTTTTTAGAGAAGCTTGTGTATGTGATTGATTATATGATTTGAAAAAAATTGAAATATTTTCATAGATTTATTTTAGGCATAATTAATCACCAAGTTCTTTTAACATATCACATAAATTGAGGTTGACAATAGCAACTTTCATAGTAATGTTTTCTTTATAATATTTTTATTCAAATTGCTAATTTTTATTTTAAAAAACATTAATAAATTTTATTAGGGACTGTTTGAGAGATTAGTTTTGCTGGGTTTTATAGAATAAAATTCTGAAGTGTTGCGTTTATATCTTAAAATGTGATTGATATTTTAAAAAAAAATTAAAATAGCATACTCTATTAATATATAAAATTATGTTGTTTTTAAAACATTTAAAAATATCAAACATATATCAAAATAGACGCTATTCTCTAAAAAAAATTCTAATATTCTCCGAAATCAACTCAAACAAATTTTTATAAAAGAAATAATATGAGGAGAAAGGGAGAAAGACGGAGAAATAATAATGAATATATACTTATTCTCCTTTGTTTAAATATTTACTCGTTAATTGATATTAAATGATAAAATGTAAGTACATGTGCGCAGCAAATTGCCAAGTGGTATTTGAATTTTCCAAATCAATTGGGACAATAGTTGAGCGAGCCTATGCAATTGTGGAATGAGAGGCAAAATAAGGTGGCCTTGAAGTTTTTTTTTTTTTTTTTTTTTTTGATGACAAGGTGGCGTTGAAGTTGAAATAGAATTGATTGATTATTCTTTCCACATTATGAGAGGAATGAAATAAAATATTCCACCGACTATCCCCTAACCTTTTCCATCAACATTGGGGAACAAATGTGAGTCATGCCTTTTTTTTTCTTCCTTTGATAGAGAGTGTTTATATTTAAATTGATATAGATCTTGTTGTGGACTTTACACATGATTGTTATTTTAGTATCATTTTAATTATGGTGGTTGAAGTAGATGATGAGAGAAAAAACCTAAAAATTCAATAAGGGTGTAAAAACTACAATTCAAATGAGTAAAATGAAAATTAGTTGGCGTTCCATTAAAAAACTAAAAAAATAAGTGTGATATGATTCAGATGTGGTGGAATGTGTTTTTGATATAACAAAGAGTCGTGGTGAGTTAAGAACGTTATATATGGGGCGGCTACAACCTTCGCAAGTCTTCCAATGTAGAATGCAAGAGCCCCTTCAATTACAACCAGACAAAAGACAATCATTTGACGCTCAAGATTTGGTGATGGATTCTTGACCGCGGAGCTACTCGACCTTTAATAATTAAGCGTTCATACCTTTGGATTGAACCTTCTTGTATTTAGGTTTCTCTGTCTTTGGGCCTAAAGCCATCCTATAACAGTTGCTTCCAAATGTTTGTCATTGTGCATCAATGCAAAGACTTGAGATTATTGGGTCCTTGTCGTCCTCTACTGAAATACTTTAGAAATATATTATTAAAATTGAATAATATATTTCCAGTATGTTAAAATTACAAGCATTATTCTTTTTATATAAGACTATTCTAATCTAATGGGCCTAACTAGTGGACTAAAAACCCAAATATAAATTACTACTAATAATGGTAAAAATAACTTATTTACAACACTCCCCGTCAAGTTGGTGAATGAATATCTATCATTCCTAGCTTGGAAACAATTTTCTCAAAGTTATTGTTGTTTAGAAGATCTGCAACATTGTCTCGAGAAGAAACATATGGAGTACAGATAAGACCAATGTCTAACTTTTCTTTAATGAAGTGTCTGTCAACTTCAATATGTTTGGTTCTATCATTCTGCACTAAATTATGGGTTATGCTAATAGCCGATTTATCATCACAATAAAGTCTCATTGGTTCATCACTTTTTATCTTCAAGTCTTCTAATATCATTTTCAGCCAAAGTAGTTCACATATCCCTTGTGTCATTGCTCTAAATTCTGCTTCAACACTAGATCTAGATACAACACTTTATTTTTTACTCTTCAAAGTCACAAGATTCCCACCCATAAAAGTACAATATCTTATAATTAATCTTTTATCCACAACTGGCCCTGCATAGTCAACATCACTATATGCTTCAAGACTCACACTTCCATTTCGTTCAAACAAAATTCCTCTACCTGAAATTCCTTTTAAATATTGCACAATTCAGAGCGCAACTTGTAAATGAATCTCCCTTGGTTGGTGCATTAAATCCAAAAGAAAATTAAGACTTACCAAGAAGAAATGAAAACGGAAACGTACTTGAATGTACCAACGTAGAAGTACTTGTTGGTTTCTCTAACTTACTAAGAAGGATCTCAACCTTTACTTCTTCTTTGTTAAGTTGAATCAATTCTGTTTCTGACATATTAATTGATGTACTGCACTAGTCGTAAAGAGGCCTGCAAACTTCAAATGATTTTTTTTAAACGTGAACAGCGTCACGGATGAACAATGCCGACGCAAAAAATAGTGTTGCCGATGGTAAACAGTACCACGTATGAATAGTATTCTGAGGCGAACAGTATTTTCGATTATGAATAGTACCGTATCTAGACAATATTTCTACGGTCAACAATGTTTATGAACCTAAACCTGCTAATAAGGTGGTAAAGGTTTTGAAAAAATAACTGCAATTAAGGCGGCTAGGGTTTTGAAAAAAAGAACCGCAATTAAGGCGATTATGGTTTTGAAAAAGAAACCGTAATTAAGACGGCTAAGGTTTTTTATGCGGAAGCGAAACCCTATCGATTGAGAGCTCTGATACCATGTTTAAAACTGAATAATATATTTCAAGTATGTTAAAATTACAAGCACTAATCTCTTTATATAAGACTATTCTAGTTTAATGGGCCTAACTAATGTACTAAAAGCCCAAATATAAATTACTACTAATAGTAGTAACAATAACTTATTTACAATAGGTATGACCAAGGAAAATGACTTTCTGGCTAAAGCTGAGAAAGATTAGGTTGATGCTTGGGATACCCATGTTTTTCCACGACCAAGATGACAGAGAGAGAAGATGCCTTGAAGAAGGAGAAAAATGATCATGCCAAAGTGACTAAAGCTTGCGAGGAACGTCTAGAAGTGTTGCGAAAGGAACTTAAAGAGTCTGTCAAACTTATCTCCAATCATCATACATGCATCCTTCCAAAACGCCTTGAGACAGGTGTAACTATTGTGCCATGGTGTGAAGACTCCCCAAGGTCAATTAGAAAAAGAAGTTGCAGAGGGGAAGCTCGTCGCTTTTGAGGATTAATTATTACTGATTTTTATAATAATACTTTCATAGGTATATTTTGTACCTTCCTTTTACGAGTAATTTTTTCTTTCTTTGCATGATTTTTATTCACGATTTGAATGATTTCATTTCATCGTGTCGTCTTGGATGATATTTCATCATATAGTATTGAATTATTTTATTTTATCATATGGTCTTGAATAATTTTATTTCACCATATAGTCTTGAATAATTTTATTTCATCATATGGTTTTAAATGACTTTATTTTATCATATGGTTTTAAATGATCTTATTTCATCATATAGTCTTGAATGATCTTATTTCATCTTTACTTAGAGGTGATCTTTCTAAAGCTGAAACTGCATTGCCTGGGTTGAGAGTCAAACTTTGTTTTGACGTCTCTGGTTCCCCTTCCTTGTCCCCAAGTGAAAACTTGGTTCTAGGTCAATCTATTCATGGTTCCACCGCATATGCTCTGAAGTGGATAGCTACCAATATGAGGTGTATTAAATGCAACTTCATTTATTTCATTTTTAGGTCTTTCTGCGTTGATTGTATGTCTTGTTCTACATTAGGAAAGACAATCATACAATTCAATGAAGGTTATTGCATTATTTAGTTTAAAGATATTAAGTTAGACAACCTTTGCTTTTTGAATTGCATTTGTATAATATGTGGAGGAGACTTAGCTAGCTAAAATTTTGCTTGAGTTTGCTAGCATTCCATGTCCTTGGGATCAATTCTCCTGACAATATTTCCATATTGTAGGCTTTATTTCTTGTGATAGTCTTGATCTTATACAACTTTCCCACTTGGTTATGATTTTGTCGTCTCTGGCATTCTTTACTTGATGTTGGTCCATCTTAACCAAGGTCATCTACTGAAATATTTGAGGTTTGACCCTCGTGTTGTGCTTGAAGGTGTTCACCTTCTTTACAGCGAAACTCAAGAAGGCGACAAAGGCTTTTCTTTCTTCCAAGATGTCTACCTATTACCTAATGGCTTGCACGTTATCTTCTTCTAGAAAGGGAGTGTGTTCCTCCAAATGAGTTCTCCCATTTTGACCGGGATGAAAGTTTCAGTACCAAATTAGAATGAGTTTTTTCCTATTTTCGAACGAGCCGTGGCTATGCATGCCTAGAGGACACGCGTGAGATCATCTGCCTAGTTTCCCTTGAATCCTCCGAGTCTCCTCTCTAGTTCCGTCAATAGAACCTGATTCAGCAAGGTTGACAAGATCTCGATCTAGATCTTAAAATCTTATGATTTTTCAATCTCACCCCAACGATCTCGATCTTAAGTAGAATAGTTTGTTGTAGGCAAATTGTGAAAAAATTGTAAAGCCGTAGATTATGTGAGATCTAGGCCAATTACGACCATGATCATTCGTATTCCGACCAC